TAAGGTTTCATCACGCAAGAATAAGGATTTTTTTGTTGTTGCATAAAGTCGATGAATACGTATTAACATTTGGGTTGAGCTGTGTTGTAAGATAGTTAAGTGTTAGTTCACGTTTATTAATTTACGCGGTAATTTAGTGAAAACCTTTGCAACAAGTGTCATCTCTATAAGAAAAATTAAATGAAGCTGCACATTGCAGTATATTTAATATTACATCTGTTCAATCAGACAACCGTTCCTAATTTGCTGAAATGATGTGACGTTTGGGGTTCGAATATACGCGGTTTATTGTAAATGTTCACATGGAATTCCTAAGATATTGAACAAACGTACAAAGGGTACAACAGTCTCTTTGTTGTATTGAGAACTTGGTAGAAAACCAATCGACTTTCATATTAGATGTTGCATAATTGTATTTTGGCTCTCAACAATAATTATTCCCTTTTCAGCTTTATTTCTAAATTTCTTGATCATGTTAGAAATATATTGATTTTAGTTGGAATAGGTGATTTACTCTACCAAGCAAAAATACGTTACTCTCAAACTCTGAAAAAAAAGCAATGCACAATTGTTAAATGACTTATTTATACAGAAATGGAGTGCTACGTTAGAAGCAACTTACTAAATATTAAAACAATATTTAAACTTTTTGATGTATTTTATATCTCTATAAAATGTTTATTTGCCGTGGCTAAAACTTAGAACTAGGAATCAGAGACTTCCAGTCAAGTCAGGACTTTGGGAAATCATATCAAGACAAGACAGAAAATGATGAATTTCACAACTTGTCTATACTTTTCTCTATACAAAAAGATGTAAATTTATACCATCTTTTTACTGTATAAATCCTAGTGTAATAATGTTTGTTTAACTCTATTCCTCCAAGGTTTATTTATAAATTTGTAAACAAAGTATAAAAATATTATTTTAACTAATACCCACATAAAGTTTGCATTGTCGATTGGATGCCCACGTGTATGTATGTATGTATGTATGTATGTATGTATGTATGTATGTATGTATGTATGTATGTATGTATGTATGTATGTATGTATGTATGTATGTATGTATGTATGTATGTATGTATGTATGTATGTATGTATGTATGTATGTATGTATGTTTTTTATGTATCTATATATGTATGTATGTATGTGTTACGACTCGATGGTCACAAACTTAAGTAACAGAAAAGAAGCAATACCAGTAAAGTTTATAAAAGTCACCAAAAAGTTTAATTATCAAAGATATAAATGAAAAATGTGAGAGGAACTTAGCGTTATGAAGTTAATCCAAACTAGTCCTTATAAGGGTCCTAATGGAATAAGAAAGTTCCTTATAAATTTAAATAGCGGAAATGTGATGTTGTCAAGTTGGCATTCGCCAGAATTCCTACGATTGATTTATAAGAGTTCTGGAATAATATTATGCCCAAATAATGAGCACTATATTTGCACAGGACAGTCAAAACAAATGTTTTTTCCTCTCAAAAATACATAAGTACACCAAAAAAAATACGTATGCAGATTTATGACAAGAACACAATAAACGTGAATAGCACCGAAAATCGGAACAAATCTGATTGCTTAACCTTTCCTTTATCTACACCGTATTTTACGAAAGTACTTCGCAAAAGACTACAAGTGACAGCATACACTATTCATTTTGCGTCAATTAAGAACGTGTTTCACGTGAGCACACACAAACAATGGGAAGCCACATAAATAATATGGAAACATGGATATCCCATCAGTTAATGAGAAACTATGCCACAGGCGCCGTTTTAAGTCTTATTTTTATCAACAAACTCAAAAGTTTAGACTGTAAACATCATTTTGATTAAACTAAAGTCTGCAAAATTTTTATAAGTATTAGATTAACACTGTACACATATTGATGAAAATTACATTAACACTGAACAAATCTTTTTTTTATGAGTATTACAATAACACTACAAATTTTACACGAGTGTTACATTAACACTGCAAATATTTAATGTGTATTAAATTAACAATGTACAAAAACAAAACAATTGGGTACAGTGAATAAACACTACACTGATGTCCACCTTGGCATGCAAGCTACTCATAATGATCCATTGGCATACAATCTATTCACGACGATCCATTGGCATACAATCTATTCATGATGATCCATTGGGATACAAGCTACTCATGACGATCCATTGGCACACAAGCCATTCTTCACGATCCACTGGCATACATTCTATTCATGATGATCAATTGACATACAATCTATTCATGACGATCCACTGGCATACAATCTATTCATGATGATCCACTGGCATACAATCGATTCATGATGATCCACTGGCATACAATATATTCATGATGATCCACTGGCATACAATATATTCATGATGATCCACTGGCACACAAGCCATTCTTCACGATTCACTGGCTTACAATCTATTCATGACGATCCACTGACACACAATCTATTCATGATGAACAACTTACATACAATCTATTCATGATGATTAATTGACATACAATCAATTCATGACAATCCACTGGCATACAATCTATTCATGATAATCCATTGGCATACAATCTATTCATGACGATCCACTGACATACAATCTATTCATGACGATCCACTGGCACACAAGCCATTCTTCACGATCCACTGGCATACAATCTATTCATGACGATCCACTGGCATACAATCTATTCATGATGATCCACTGGCACACAAACCATTCTTCACGATCCACTGGCATACAATCTATTCATGACGATCCACTGGCATACAATCTATTCATGATGATCCACTGGCACACAAACCATTCTTCACGATCCATTGGCAAACGAACTATTCATGATCATCCACTGGCACACAAGCCATTCTTCACGATCCACTGGCATACAATCTATGCATGATGATCCACGGTCATACAATCTATTGATGATGATCCACTGGCATACAATCGATTCATGATGATCCACTGGCATACAATCTATTCATGACGATCCACTGGCATATAGTCTATTCACGACGATCCACTGGCATACAATCTATTCATGACGATCCATTGGTTGGCATACATGCTATTCTTGACGATCCACTGGCATACAAGATTTTCTTGACGATCGATTGGCATACATGCTACCCATGACGATCCATTGACATATAATAGATTTATGAAGATCTATTGGAATACAATCTGTTCTTGATGATCCATGAGCATACAATCTATTCTTGACGATTAATTGGCATACAATCTATTCTTGACGATTAATTGGCATACAATCTATTCTTGACGATTCATTGGCATACAATCTATTCTTGACGATTCATTGGCATACAAACTACTCATGGTAATCAAACATCCGTGAAATACTCAGCTGAAACTTCAAACCCGTAGTGACAGAAAACGAATATAGTAAACTGACTGGTCTTGATAAAAACTAACGATGTTTTTAGCATACTTTCTAACATTAACTAATTATGTTCACGAGCTTTTTACTAAAATTTTTATGTACTCTTTAATATTTGTATTGATCAAAGGAAATTTCCCGATTGTCTCAAACAACGACAAACAATCGCAATTTACAACAAATCGGATTCCATTGAAAGGGTTACTATAGACCCGTACAGATTTTACCAAGATTGTCCAAAGTGTATAAATGGATTCTATGTGATGACCTTCAATAACACTTGGATAATACATCTCACACAGTTTTGTCTACGTTTAGAAAAGGGTATAGATCTCGAAACATTACCGAGACTGGTAGAGGACTGGAGCGGCGCTCTTAACAACGGTTCAAACTTGGTTGTAATCCCAAATAACCTTTATAAGGCATTTAGCATTCTTTAGCACAAAAGCATCACTGCAAGTATCAAAGCACAACACAATTATTAGAATTCGGTCATGTGGATGACAAAAATACTTGACAAACTGAAACCAACCTGTTAAATTAGCATCTTCACATAATTATTAAAAAAAAAATATCAAAAGTAGTGCTGCAATGCCTTTCAGTTTAAATATCTTAGTAAATGACAATTCCTCCTTCTCCAAGCAATAACTGCTGATGACAATAACATCTGTTACACCCATAATGATCAAATAACCATATATATATATATATATATATATATATATATATATATATATATATATATATATATATAAACACAGATATATATATATATATATATATATATACACACATATATATATATATATATATATATATATATATATGTATATATGTATATATCGCGGTGTCTATGATACACGGCAATCGATCTGTCTAAGACATACATCAATCGATGTGTATAAGACAACACGGCAATCGAGGTGACCAAGATACACGGCAATCTATGTGTCTAAGATAACCTGTAATCGAGGTGTGTAATATACACGACAATCTATGTGTCTAAAATAAACTGTTATCGAGGTGTCTAAGATACACGACAATCTATGTCTATAATAAACGGTAATCAAGGTGTCGAAGATACACGACAATCTGTGTCTAAGATAAACGGTAATTGAGGTGTCTAAGATACACGACAACCTATGTGTCTAAGATAAACGATAATCGAGGTGTCTAAGATACACTGCAATTTATATGTCTAAGATAAACGGTAATTGAAGTTTCTAAGATACACGACAATCGAGACGTCTACAATACTTTGTGAAAAAGTACCTACTTATTTAGCTAATCTGCTCTAATTCAAGCAGGCGCATAACTATATCATGATTCGTCATTTTCATGTATAGAATGATGAAGATATTCTTTTCGTCGCGAAGAGAGGGAGGAGAATGTCACCCCTCCCTGTAATGGGGTTCAGTTTTTTAAAATATATTTTCAGGAAATCATTGAGTGATTTTTCTCTTAGCGAGGTTGATTGCAATACTAACAAATCATTAAAACAATTGGTTTGAAATGCATTATTTTTATTTTCTTGTAAAAAATGTTGTGGGCAGTTGCATCTTTGCGTATAGGCAGCTACTCGACTGCATTCAAAGAAGACCGCTCCGGTGGCCTAGTGGTAGAGCGTCCGCATCGGATGCGGGAGGTTTCTGGTTTAAACACCGGGCGAGTGTTGTTTTTTTTTTTTTCAAAAATGGTACTAACAGCTGTATCGCTTAGCGCTCAGCATTAATAGGTTAGTGTTAGGACTGGTCAGCTGGTGTCAGAAAAACGTGACTGGGTGGAACATCATGGTCCTTGTCTGCGAACCTGATACGCCAGTGATAAACATCACTATAAACTGTCACACTGCAGACGTCGTAGCGATATGGCTGACAAATTGTTAAAGCTACATTAAAAATCTAAATCAAACACAAACATATGCGCATTCAATGAAAGTAACGATACAATCAGAATACAAAATTAGGAAAAATGTCAAGGGTACAGATCACAAAGTACGGTAGCCTTTCTTTTTTGAATGTGACAGCCGCCTCATGTCTCGAAAATATCCTGCAAAACTAATTAAGAACAAGCTCTTTTCTTAAACAATTCAAACATGGCAAGGGCTTGGGTGTAAAAAGACTTTTTGTAGTTTGATCTGTCCAGGGCCTATATGTAAATGTATTTTGTGTAGTTTGATCTGTCCAAGACCTGCATGTAAATGTATTTTGTGTAGTTTGATCTGTCCAAGGCCTGCATGTAAATGTATTTTGTGTAGTTTGATCTGTCCAAGGCCTGTATGTAAATGTATTTTGTGTACTTTAATTTGTCCAGGGCCTGCATGTAAATGTATTTTGTGTCGCTTAGTAAAGCTTAAAAAACAATTTAATTTTCAAATTGATTAGAGTATAAACGAGAGCAGCGTACAGTGTGAAGTGAATCAAAACAATTCTTAAAACTTTCTATGAAAGCACAATTGTATGAAAGTTCCGTATTAATTTCAGAACCGGAAAAGTATTGATCCGCCCAGAGTCGTGACGTTATCAATATGACGGTGTCCAAAACTCATTTAAATAATAGTTCTAAGTCCAAAACATAAACACTTTCTATATCCACGGAACAGTCTAAACAATGATTTATCCTCTCAAACTATGTTTAATTACATCTCAAACTATAATTACAACATAAAACACGTCTGCAGACTTGATGTTACAACAGGAACACACGAGATAATGACTCAAAATTAATTATGAAACTTTGCTTACTTCTCACCTTATATACACTTATATTACAACTTTATTTCACAATATACCCCCAACATGACAGATCATACTACTCAATAAATATTTCGAAATACCTATTCATATGACCTTGCCCGTCCAATGGGAAATTACCTAATTTTTCTAGAAACGTCCAAACCCCAAAATCGTCAGCAGATGTTATTATTAAGATTTTTATTAGTAATTGTCAACACATACGTAAGCATTTTTTTTATTGATTCTATGTAATGTTACTCTATTAATATTCCTGGAACATCATAGTCACGTAGGCAAAATATAACTATTGATAATTACTCAAATTTACAGACATTATTACAATTTTTTTTAAAAAATTAGATAAATTGATGTATCAGGAGTTACAAAAGATATAGATAACAATATTTTATCTTGGTTTGAGTATATTGTACTTGATTTATATCGTGTCAGAATGTATACGTGTTTGTTTGAGTATATCGTACTTGCTTTTTGTCGAGTCAGAATGTGTATTTGATTTTTTTTTAGTATAACGTAGTCGCTTTATGTTGTGTCAGAATGTGTACCTGTTCGGTTGAATGTATCGTATCTGCTTTATGTGGTGTTGAAATGTGTGCTTGTTTGAGTATATCTTACTTGCTTTATGACGTATCGAAAAAATAACCTGTCTTTGGGTTTCATGTTACCCAAACTACCGATGTTAAATAAAAAATGTTAAAGAAAAAATAGTTTTTTTTTATCTTCTAATGAAATAAACAAAGTAACAGAGAAAGCATGACCGATTAAAAAAATTAAGTCAATCAAGGTTGCAAAAGTTTTATTTAAGTAGGATTACGTGACTAGGATGTTTCAGGAATATTAATAGAGTAAAATTACATAGGATCAATAAAAAAAATGCTTACGTATGTGTTTCTTAAGTACCACCGTCAATGCAATAATTATTACGTACGCGTAGGTTGCCTGTGGGGTACGAAGAGCTTCTTCAACATTTTGGATGGACAGGCCAATTTGACCATAAAATAAAAAGTCAAATGCCTTCTTACATCGCATCCTAACTACACATCATCCGTACACTGATGCGGTATTTGAAGTTATAACAGGCTTGCTTTGTTTCAAGCTGGACATAAAATCTGAGTACCATTTCAGTATGACGAAATCTCCAGATTTAATGCCTTTTGATGATCATTTTTCCTTTTGTTCTTCTCTTTATTTACATTAGGTTAATAACATCAAGGCATATTTAATACATATAGGTAAATCCCTAAAGCAAACTGATCTTAGTAAATGGTATCTCCACCTACAATGTTTTTGTACCTGGCTCCTTGTTTTTCTTTCCTAAGTCCAAGACGGATTAATTAAGCACAGCGATATGTGAAAAGAGATTGTTGGGATATTCCACGGCAATAGAGACTTAAATACTAATATAAGCTTACGTTAAAGCTGTTTGAACATAACAATTTGCCTCTATTACCACAATATCTCCGGCACTCCGCCTTGTGACTTGAATACATTTTAACCATCCTAGAATTTTCAATGTTCGCAATCTGTCTACCTAAGTAAAAAAAAAAATCGTCTGTTTTATATGGGATGCTGAGCGTCTGAGTGATCGATAAAATGTAGTTTTATAAGAGATGCTGAGCATCTGAGTGATGGAGAAAATGTAGTTTTTTTTAAGGGATATTGAGCGTCTGAGTGAGCGAGAAAATGTAGTTTTATAAGAGATGCTGAGCGTCTGAGTGATCGAGAAAATGTAGTTTTTTTTTAAGGAATGTTGAGCGTCTGAGTGAGCGAGAAAATGTAGTTTTTTAAGGGATGTTGAGCGTCTGGGTGAGCGAGAAAATGTAGTTTTATAAGGGATATTGATCGTTTGTGTCAGCAAGAAAATGCAACTCCAACTTTAATTACAGTAGTTTAATTAACATATTTGCATTAAGAACAAATTAACAAACAATAAATAAATAGCAAAAAGGAACATATAGAAAGAACAGCTAGCGTCAACATAGTATATTAGATTAAACTATGTGATTCAACATGCCTGTTCAATATTTGTTTCATGTGATTCATCATGCCGGTTCAATATCTGTCTGTTCAATACCGGTTACAATATGTAATATATCATGCCTGTTCAACATCTATTAAAATATGTGATTCAGCATGCCTGTTGAATGACTGTTATAGTAGGTGATTATTGATGTCTGTTCAAAATCTGTTACAATGTGTGATTTAACATACCTATTCAGTCTATGTTACAAAATATAAGTTAATAATTATTGTTCATTACCTGTTACAATAAGTGATTTAACAAGCGTGTTCAATGTATGTTGCAATATTTGATTCAGTATGCTTGTCCAATATCTCTTATAATATGTGATTTAACATGCCTGTTCATTAGCTGTTACAATATATCATTTAGCATGCATGTTTAATGTCTTTTCCTGTATTAGTTTACAAAACGTAATAGAAAAGAGTAAAGACAACCAGTTTGTAAAATTTAACAACAATTTTTTTCCCTAGAAAACCAATGTAAGATGAGAAAAAGAACTTATGGTTTTACGAATCAAATCCAAAATTAATCCAAGAATTATAAAAGTAATATTATTAAAAAATCTTGAAGGAATCTGAGTTCGAGTCCCGATGAAATTCAAAATAGAATGCGATACGTCTGTCGTAACTTTCAAAGTATAGTTGTGTCAACTTTCCTTGTTGAATCACAGAAAATATTAATCAATCCAGTTTTGAATTTCGACTAAATTTAAATAAATGTCCATATCCAAATATTTTGTAGGAGCATTTATATATTTCCAGGGAAAAGAATCAATTGAATTCCATAAAATACAATTTCAACTCAAACTGGGCACAAAAGGTATAGAGCCCGAATGAATAAATCTCTATATAAAATATGTGATGCAGCATGCATGTTCAGTATTTGTTCATTTATATGATTCTGCAAGCCTGTTCAGTATCTGTTACAATATGATTTAATACGTCTGTTTAATGTCTGTTACAATATGTGATTTAACATGTCTATTTAATGTCTGTTACAATATGTGATTCAGTATGAATTTTCAATACCTGTTACAATATGTGATTTAACATGCCTGTTCAATGTCTGTTACAATATGTGATACGGTATGCCTGTATGCTCAGTATCTTTCACAATATATAATTTAACCTGTCTGTTTAATATCTATTCCAATATGTGATTCAACATGCCTGTTTAATATTTGTTCAAATATTTGATTCAACATGTCTGTTTAATATATATATATATATATATATATATATATATATATATATATATATATATATATATATATATTACAATATGTTATTCAGTATGCCTGATCAGTATGTTACAATATGTATTTAACATTCCTGTTTAATATGTTACAATATTTGATTCCGTATGCCGTTTCGATAAGTTATATGTTATAAAGTATGCATTATCAATACGTTACAATATTTGATTCAGTGTACCTGTTTAATGTCTTGACATGAACTATATTACCCATCCATTTTCCTTTTAAGAGTACTAAAACAGTGTCCGAGTGGAAATGTGCAGCAAGATTTATTCCAAGAAAGTTAGATTTAACGATTCCATGATGGCAGGAAAGCTTTTTGTCTTCATGTAGGCATAGACTATATCATATTTGACGTCATCCACATCAAGCATCATATTATTATATTTGTTTCTAACTTTCAGTCTTTCTTATCATACTTCTGTGATTGACATGGAAACATTACTAATTAACAAAACATCTTTTTACACGACAAAGTTAATGCTAGAAAATATACTGTTACATAATAAGGCTATACATAACTTGGTTTCGCATTGAATCTATTTTCCCATCTTTATTCGTTGTTACCTGGAGTAAATCACTCTGCTCCAGGTAAAGTGTTTTCAAAATTACATGCAAAGAAAAGTCACGAAAAGCATGGCTT